TAACTCTGCCTCGGGTTACGAACAGGATCCGCGCCATTTTCCCTCTCGTGACCCGGTCCGCGGCCATTTTCCCACCCGTGACACGTGGTCCGAGGCCATTTTCCGCCCCTGGTACGTGATCCGCGGCCATTTTCCACCCCAGACACGTGGTCGTAGGGAGGGGGACTCTCCCTGCAAGCAATAGCCACCTCCCTGTCCTCCACACCAGAATGGATTAACGGTAATTACATTGAACCTTATGGGAAAATTTGCTTCGGGTCGCGACCAATTCGGGTCGCAACCAGAGTCACAGAACGAATTAAGTTCGTAAACCGAGGTTCCACTGTATCTAGTTCTCAAAGCTACTTATGCCTCATTACTGTAAATCATGGTTTTGTGTTACATCTGAATGAAATTAAACGTTTGCTATCTTAATAGGTTCAAAAACAGATTAAATTCAGACAAAAATGATCATAATCCAGAGGATCAATCATACAGCCAAACTAATTTCCACATTGATATCCCTGGCTGATCTCAGAAGGTAAGTAATGTTGGACACCCTAACAAACAAAGCAAACAAACAAACAAACACAGAAGCAAAGGCATCTGGGGGTGTGGGGATGATTGACATCTGCAAGATGTTGGATGATGCGTTGTTGTGAACACTCCTTGAATGTGTATGCCGTGTTGATGCATATACAAAAGGGCAGGACTTGCATGTATCTGCCTGCATTTCATTTGCCATTTTGCAGATTTTAACCCTGCCCTTGTGGCTTCCCCTATCCAGAAGAGGATACAGTAATGGCAAATGGTTGCCAAGAAAACCACATGGATGTGTCCACCAAGTTATCAGGTGTCAAGATCAACTTAAAGGAAACATTTTGTTTTCTTTAGAAAGTTTTTGCAAGACCTTAAACTCTAGAGCAGTGTTTCCCAACCTTGGCAGCTTGAAGATGTGTGGACTTCAACTCCCAGAATTCCCCAGCCAGCATGCACTTAAGGACAATATCCATGCTCTAGTGGGGGCATCATAGCTCCTACTACAGTGACAAACTGTGTCAGGGTTGAAACAGTGTACTTCAGATGTGCTGGGACGACATAAACTGGCTGGGAATCCTGGAAATTATAGCCCCACACCTCAGGAAAGCACTAGACTGGGGAAGGCTGCTGAGACATTTAGGATCTTCTTGCAGTTAAATGTCCCTCTGCACAAAATACCCCTTCCACATTTTTTTAAAAAAATACTAGATGTCACAAAGAGAGTTTAATCTAGTATTCTCCCCTAGATGCTAATTTTCCACAAATTGAGGGATGTGGTTTGAAGGAGCATTCAGTTATTTAGTCCCAAATTCTGAAGTGCTCCCACCCACAGAGCTCAGAGGGAAAGTGGTCCCAAACTCATCTGAAATTAGGGCTGGGTCCACACATTAAAGAAATTTATCTTTAGTTAGATCACTTGTTTGGCCACGTGTGCCCAGCTGGTAGAGTTATAAATTATGATTTATGGCTCTCTAAACATATGGACTTTGGTAGCCAAAGCCTGTACAGGTTTTTGAGAGAGCAAGAGTTGCAATGGGTGGGGAAACCAGGCAAAGAGGGTGTGGCCAGATCACAGACACATAAGAGATTTTCAGTATTTTTCATGGGGTTGCTAAAGAGATGGGGGTAGCTTTCTTTCTTAAAACAATTTTAAGCCAATTTTAGAGCTGGCACCACTGTTTTCATTGGGTACCAAGCCATGACTTTTGGCAACTGCAGTAAAAAGGGACTACAGGGGTTCTGAGAAGTGGAATTTAGGAGCACACTAAGCCTTAATCTGTTATGCAGCCCCAGCCACTTTTGTTTGCTTAATAAACCAGGGATAATCAAATTGTTACCTAGTTCAATAGTGAATCAGAGCTCAGTCATGGCTTTATCACCTGGTTATGCATTTGTTAAGCAAGGACCATTTGATACTCCACCTTTGGGTCGAGGCCAAGGCCAGCACGGGCCAAGATAATGGAGAGAGCAATACTTCTCAGGCTGGCTCCCCATTTCACATTGATCTGGACTATGTCACTGATTAATGGGATGTTTCTGAGAAGAAATCCAACAAGCAACATTCCTAAAAAGGAGGCAGAAGAGGCATCTTACTGACTGACATAATTGGCAGATACAAAGTCTGAAAAGCTTGCTATGAAGTCCAGTGCCTTCAAAGATGTTTCCTTTCCTGTACTCACAGAATACCATTTGAACCAAACATTTAAGAAGGAAATGGCTCCCCTGTGATCATGCAGTCAAAGGGTCATACTCCTGCAACCTGAGATCTCATAAAGAGTCCCATTTCCTAATCTCTGGAACACTACAGAAAATGCTTTCCTCCTGAATAAATCTGTACAAATTTGTATTCCACCAAATTTCTTCTGTACATTTAACAATCCCATAGAGTTTATTAGATGAAAAGATACCGAGCATGTTAAATCATGTCTGCCTGGTTGAGACATTGTACTAAACAATAATGGGTTTGTACTACAAACACCAGCCATGGAGGTTTATTACATGGAGATTTATTCAATAAATCATGGTTAAATGCATAATAATAATCCTGGCGGGGCCCAAGAGGAGACCCTTCTCTGCCATTGCTCCCGCCCTTTGGAACATTCTCCCCCGAGAGTTGTGGCAGGCCCCTACCCTACCGGCCTTCTGGAAAGAATTGAAGACCTGGCTCTGCCAGCTTGCTTGGAGTGATAACAACCTTACTCAATCCTGGGGGTGGCTAGCGCCTCGATGACGCTCCCTGAGTGACTGCCAATTATTTTGGATCTTTTTATTTTCTATTTATTATTGTAATTTTGTCATTTTAATTGATTTTAATTGTTTTGTAAACCACCCAGAGTCATTCAACAAGATGGGCGGTGACAAATTCAATAAATAAATAAAAATAAATAATAAATAAGCTATGGTTTAGCATGATGGACTTCAGCTGCATTCTCAGAGGAAGTAATTGGGATAAGCCCAATCATGTTGAGCATGTGGTTGTGTTATTATTCAGAAAACGATGGTTTAGCAGCCATGGTTTTGCATGTTGTGTGAACATACTCTTCTTTTTACTAGAGCCTAATCATTGCAAAAAAACCAAAAACATAATACTATAAATCAGTCATACATAGAATCATAATCTAATACTTTTTAAGCAGCTTTCATACCATGAACTAAATGACAATGACTGCATTCACACAACAGGCTGAATTAGACCACACAACCCACTAAGTTTAGTTAATGTTGACCTTAGGGGTTTGGTTTTATTTTTTATCTGTGCATGTTTGTCTGGTTTAGCTTCATATGCAAACCCAGCACATTTGATTAGCTTATGGTTTAATGTTTTGTGTGAACCCTAGTAACTGGGTTAAGCTTGTTGCATGAATGCAGCCAGTATGTGCTTTATTTTGGCTTAGTGCATATGGGAACCCAGCCATTCCAGTAGGTAATCTATGATTATGACTTAGTATTATATGTCTATCAGGTTATATGGCTTGTTCAACCAACCATGGTTAAAACATCAAATAGGACCCAAAAGCTTAAGGGAATTTGAAAAGTGAAGCAGCTTGCTTCATTGTAAATTGAAGCATCCCTGAGCCATAAAGGTAGTGGGTTGAGAACAAAGGAATGATTAATAGGTAAGAAAATAAATGTTAATTAATTTAAATAATCTGCAGGATACATGCCCATGACAGGTCCCCTACAGAAACTTCTGTTAGTGAAACAAGCACAGATTGGGGCTGTAAACTGAAAAAAAAAAATCAATTTTAAAACTACTTAAAAGACCAAGATGAGTACTTTTTTGAGAAATGGAAACAAGAGCTGTTGCTTCTTAATTTGTAACACTAAGACTTAGCACTTTGAAGTCCATTTGCAACTATTTATTTGAAGATTCCCCATTACAGGAGTTATTCCAACTAATTTCATCTCAAAACACAAAATCAAAGAGCAACCCCAAACAAGTCAACTTTTAAGTGACTTTCTCAGTACTTAAAATATCTTCACCAAGTAATATTCTGTTTTTCCAATTAATTATAGTTTAATGATCTAGCTATTAAATTTGAACTGTGTGGCAGTTTGACTATAGATTCTCTGTTTCAATAAACAATGTCAGTGTGAAAAGACACAGCCTATCTGAAAATATACTTACCCAAAAGGGGCGGGAATGGAGGCAGACCAGGAAATTTAATTAAGCCCATAATTTTACCACCAATTACAGCAAAGAGGTAGAGGAATAAAAGTGCAAAGAGATTCCCACCAGGAAGACTTTCACGGTTTGTAATAGACCAGATTACAGCCCAGATGAGTACTACTGCTACCACTGGAAGGAGAAAAACATGAAAATTATATAAACATTTGAAAATATTTCTTAGAATTTTTTGACACATTTATATAAAAATATAAAGAGAATTTTTATTTATTCTTTAACTGTTCGTTATTAAATTGCATCCAGATTAAGACTTAGGAACAAAAAATTGGAAGAAGCAAACCTGTGCTTCTAAGACCAGTATATCTAATGCCAGTTCAAAACATTGCTTATGCATTTTTATGCATGTCTTTTTATGCATTTCCTGGCTTTTGCTGAATGTTTCCTTTTGTGGGTATAAATCTGCACAATCCAGTACATTTCTTATAAATCAGACATTCGAGAATATGCAACCAAGTGATGGAAACTGGGTTACAGACTAACGTAACTGCCATGCTACCATCTCAGTGGGGTTTACAAAAGTATGTATTAGTAGCACAGCAAACTCTGTTCAGGTTTCAGAGATTTCAGTTATTGTGCAAATAATCTGCCACCGATTGGTGCAACTGGAAAGTCAAGCAGAATATTAGAAAGCCTAGATTTTATAATATCTAACGTTATATAAGCCCTTAATGGGAGGTGGTCTTGAGACCTCTAGCATGTGGCCCAAGCCAATACAAATCACACAGGAAAAAAAAAACACTTTAGTATGAAAGCATATAGAGAAAAGGCAGGCATGCCTGCATAGTATCCACAAATCTAGGTCTGACTGGGGCAGGTCTGAACTATGGAGTTTTACTGGCATAGTGAGCTTCTGCTGCAGACGGACACAACCTGAGGCCCAGGGATACCCTAAAGGCTTGGCTGCAGCACCTGGTGACTTCCAAAAGTTTTACCAAATTGTAATCAGAGGGACAGAAGCAATTAAATGCATGACTGAGGAGGAATTGTGTTAACTATATTTAATTTTAATCACATGTAAGTGAACGGAAATCACCCACTACTTCTTGGAATATGACCTTCTGTAATGGTATGTGGGAATGAACTTGAGGGACGAGGCAAAGAGACGCTGCCTAGGGAATGATCAGATAAAAGGGGGAGGAGCCCACAGCTGAATAATGGGGAAAGAAAGAAACCAAAAAAGGATCCGCCCTAACGTATCAGGCTGTTAAAAGTGACAGCAGGAGATCTGTATTTTCAGACTTGCAAGATTCTGTTAATTTAGCCTTACAATAAAGTAGAATC